CGCGAGCTGCCAGCGTCAAGCCGCTCTTGGACAAGGGAAAGGACCACCTCTGGCTCGACCAGCAGGGCGAGGTGTCGTGGGAGCCCCGCATCCAGTCCACCAGCGACCCCCTCCTCCTCAAGCCGGTCGGGCACCTCAAGAAGGATGGAGTGAAGCACCTAATCTACAGTGAAGAGGGGCCGGTGGGCACCATCCGTTGGCCGGGGGCAGAACCCCAAGGACCCGGAGCAACGCTCCTCCGAGTCACCGGGGGAGGCGGGGGCACGGTCCGCGCCCTGACGCCCCAGGAGGTTTGGCGAGTGCAGGGAGGGACCAGAGACGAGTGGACCCACCTGCGGACCCAGGGCTCCGCGGAGGACGAGCTCTTGAAGGGCGCAGCCAGGGCGCTCCCACCGAGGACCGCGGAGGCGGTGCCGGCCGTGGCGGAAGCACTCGACAGTACCAGCACGCAGCGCGCCGGAGTATGCCATGATCCAGAGGAACAGGCCGCGTGGGATGCTACCAAGCGCTGGTTCCGCGCTTGGGCACAGGCACCAGATCAGCCCGCACTAGCGCTGGCAGCGGAGGACGAGGCGAGGGCAGGAGGGGCGCTCACGGACGAGATGCACAAGAATCGCCGGCGTGCCCAAGCAGTCCGCTTCAAGATGATCGACGAGGACACGCTCATCGGACCCCGCGAAGCTCCGGCCGCAGAGGTCAAGCTGGACAAGAGTGTGACTCGCTCGAAGAGCCCACGTAAAAAAGAGCCCCCGACGTGCCAAAGAGATGCCAGCGATCAACCTGGTGAAGCCGCATGCGCTGGGCGTAGCGCGGAAGAGCAACTACCCCGGGAAGGAGCTCGCCCCCGCCGGCCGTGCTGAGCCAGGCGGGGCCAACTACGCCAGCTGGTTCGCGCAGCAGAAGATGGAGGCCATGCTGCAGAAACTAAGCGAAGGCACGAGGGCAGGCTACGAGGGAGGATGGCGGCTCTGGGTAGCTGCGCGCCAGGCGCAGGGGCTTAGCCCTTGGCTCCCAGGACGCGATCGCGAGGAGCGCCTGGCCGACGAGGAGGCGCTCATCAACTTCGCCGTCCTCCTAGCGCGGGTCGTTGGGAGGTCCGAGGGGACCATCAAGCAGAAGCTCTTCGCGGTGCGCTACGCCCACCTGGTGGCCGGCTACTCGGATCCATTGCTCCACAGGGGTCGCCTTTGGAGCACCCTGGCAGGGCTAAAACGCTGGCAGGGGCCCGAGACCAAGCGGAAGAAGCCCGCCACGCCAGCCATGCTCGAGTGGCTCCGGGGTTTTCCCCAGCAAGAAGCCAAGCTCCCCGAGGAGGACGCGGTGGTCATCTGGGCGGCCATTGTGACAGCGTTCTTCTTCCTCCTGAGGGCTTCAGAGTACCTCCCCCAGGCTGGGCGCTCGTGATCCTTCGAGCGCGTGCTGCACGGGGAGGACGTAGAGCCCAGGAAGGACGGGAAGCGAGTGCCCAGCTTTCAGGACGCCGACGAGATGGTGATCTACATCAAGGGCAGCAAGACGGACCAGCTCAACGTCGGGATGGTGAGGAACCACTACCGCGCCGGCACGACGCTCTGCCCGATCGCGGCGATGGAGCGGCTCCAGGCTCACCATCCCCAGCGGATAAAGGGCACCGAGGAACGGTTGCCCCTTTTCCGCTGGGCGCCAGGTACCCCGATTCGCAGGGCCGAGGGGCAGCACTTCCTGACGGTCGCGGGGCTGGCCGCCGGCCTCTCTAGGGAGGAGATCGGCAGCCATTCCCTGAGGATCGGCGGGGCGACTGCAATGTACCACGTGACCGAGGACCTCTCCCGGGTGCGCCGGTTCGGGCGCTGGCAGTCGGACGCGTTCCACGGCTACCTGTGGGAGTCGCACGAGCCGATGAAGGGCATCTCCGGCAAGATGGCCAGGGGCACCTCCTCGCTGACCAACCCGGCGAAGGACAGCGCCCCCAGCAGAGCTGCCGCCGGCGCCGAGAGCGCCAGGCGTGAGAGCCCATGAGGGGGCCGCAGCGGGCGCCGCCGGTGCTTGCACACCTGGCGCGCGCCCAGCCCAAGCCGCCGGCCTTCCCGCCGTGCGCGCTTGAGGCCGCATACCCCGACCACCTGCGCCGCCGGCGGATCAGCCGCGCGCTCGCAGGGCACACCCACCCGTGCCTTCGGCACTGGCCAATACCTCAGCGCGAGCGTACGCGCACAGGCCTGTCCGTCGGGGCCCCACCAGTGCCTGGGATACTGTGGGTCCCCTTGCAGCCGTTGGACAAGGGCCATGCTGAAGCTTGCCCGGCACGCCGGCTCTCTTTGCCAAGCCTGGTCGTGCCGGGCACACCGACGTCAGCTTAAGGCACAGTAGCTGACAATCTGACGGCCCAGCGCGGCCGCAGCATCAGAATTCATGCGCAGGCACAGGCCCGCGCCCCAGCGCCGGCCCGGGGAACCCCCTCTGTCAGGGGCCGGACCCTGCCCGCCCCGAGCACTTGTGGAGGGGCGGGGAGCCGGGAGATCTGGAGGCCGCGGCGCGGACGGGGGTGCCAAGCACCGGCCTGCGCCGAGCGCCAGCGATGGCATCTTCGGGCCTTGGCCCGAGGTCAGGCTCCGCAGGCAATCAATGCACCGGCGCGAGCCCAAGGCCTAACCTTGCGGAGGACAGCCGCGCGCGCCGGCATCAGTTGCCTGGCGGCAGTCGGCAGACAGGAGGGCCAATTGGGCCCCGCGCGCACGCCGGCGCATGCGCCAGGCGGTGCGCGACTCAGAGTATAGACAGTGCCGGCGGCACAGAGCCTCGCACCCAACTTTGGTGACGCCCATCAGGGCGCCCGCACAGCACGCCGGCGTGTAGAATCCGCCAGGCGGCCAGTGTGTAGGGTCACTGGCAGCAGCACCAGATCATTAGAACAAAGGCGGCGAGGCCCGCTTCGCGTGGCGGAAGGAGGGACCCGCCCGGCGCTACCAACGCCGGCGGGAGGAGCGCGCGGCCAGCGCAGCAGCAAAATGGGGGGGGCTGCACCGCTGCCGCCATCGTCATCGTCTCCTGAGAGCCCGCTTCTGACCGCTTCGCGGCTGGCACGTCCCGCGGCCTTACAGTGGCCGCGCTTTCGCTAGCGCCGTACTGTGGGGGCGGGGTCTTAGTTGTTTGTCCTAAACGGTTGGACCCCGCCCTCCCCAGTCGGCTTGGGTTTTCTCCTCTCCCTGCTCCTGCCTCTGCCTGCCCTTCTCTCTCCCTCTCTCCCGCTCAAGCCTTCGGGGCTCGAAGCCCTCCCAGGGCCCGGATGGGCCCTCTTTTGCCCGCCCACCCTGGGCTTTGCCATGGTGTCTAACGGCGCCGCGGCGAGGCCCGCTTCGCGTGGCGGAAGGAGGGGCCCGCCCGGCGCTACCAACGCCGGCGGGAGGAGCGCGCGGCCAGCGCAGCAGCAAAATGGGGGGGGCTGCACCGCTGCCGCCATCGTCATCGTCTCCTGAGAGCCCGCTTCTGACCGCTTCGCGGCTGGCACGTCCCGCGGCCTTACAGTGGCCGCGCTTTCGCTAGCGCCGTACTGTGGGGGCGGGGTCCTCCCCCCCCCTCCGTGTTTGCGCGGGGCCAGTCGTCTCCCCCTGGAGAATGTTGCACTTCTAGCAGCACCCGGAGCCCTCGTTCCAGGCGGGGGAAGAAAAACTTCTTCCCACGCTTTCCAATCCGCGCGAAACTGCACCAGGGCACCGCGGGCTGGCAAGGGGGGGCCCTCGAGGGCCCTGCGGTCGGCCCACGCTTGTTGAGCTTTATCCGGGGGGCGCGAGAACGGCGTCTTGTCGCGCCGCTCTCGCGGGCAAAAGCCTCTCCACAAAGACAGCGAACTCCATTGTATGATGCCGAAGATGTCGTGCCAGGTGTTCGTGGACAAGTGGCTGTTCAAAATGCTGAACAATGGGATTCTCAAGTTGCCGTAGGGTCCGTCGGGGTTAAGGCCGGGCAAGCTCATGCTGAGGACTTCGACCGACGCAGATCTGCCCCACTTGGCGGGGGCCCCGTCCTGCCACAGGCCGATGGCCACAGCGGGGCTGCCCAGCTTCGCTTCCGCGCCCTGCATGTGCGCGCGGTCGCCCTCATCCAGCCCCTGCTTCTGCAGCAGCGCGTGCAGGTCGCCGTGCCTGCCCAGCGCCAGGAGGACCTCGCGCGGTAGCAACAGGGGCACTTCTTTTGTCTCTTCTCGATGACGCTTGGTGTTCCACACGCGGACCTTTGCCGCGCACTCCTTCGGCCACAACGTCCCCTTGAGAAACTTCCTCCTTAAAGTCCTGCACGCGTTGGCGCGCGTCCCGCTCTCAGGCCCCCGACGCCCACGCCCCCTCTTTCCATGGCGTCGGCGGCGAGCCCTTGCATGTCGCCCGAGGACAGAGCACCCCTCATCATGTGCGTCTGCAAGGTGGCGCGAAAGCGCTTTGCAGGCGGCAGCGCGCTGGCGCCCACCGCCGGATGGCGCTTCGAGAACATGGCGACGCGCCCGCCCCGCGGCCCGCCAGGCGCCCGTCGTCTGGCAAACAGCTTCGGGCGAAGGCGGCATCCGAAGCAGGGGGGGGGGGGGGGCGGGGGGGAAATCCATCTTCAATTTGAAATTCCAAAGTCGAAGTTCGGAGTCCGAACTTCGAACTGCGAACGCGCGCTTCACGGGAGACAGCGCCCCCTTGCCCCTCCCACTCCTCATCCGGCGAGCTCGCCCCCACGCGTTCCCATGAGCTGCGACATCTCCCGCCAGACACAGCGCTGTCGCGCGAAGCGGCGCGCGCAGGAGGCGCCTTGCCCCCCTGCTTTCGCCGCGCTTCTTTTGCGTCGGCCAGCCGCAGTCGCAGGCAGTTGCTTTTGCGTTGGCGGGGGCGCTGCCCGTGGCTGCTCGCTCGTTTCTTCCCCTCCCTCCTCCCACGCCCGGACCCCCTCGGCCCTCCCCCCATCCCCCCCCCGCCCCCTCGCTCCTCCCCCCTCTCCCCCCCCCCCCCCTCCACTCCCCTCCATTCCCCTCCCCCGCGGGCCGCTCACGTCGCGCCCTTCCAACGCTTCGCGCTGATCTTGCCGCCCTCCAAGTGCTTCTCCGCGAGCGTGACCTGGTCTGACACTGCATGCCTCGTCTCCCTCATCATCTCGTCGTCGGGTTCGCCCGCGGGGATGCGTGCCGCCTCTGCCAGCAGGAGCTCTGCCGCGTCGAGGAAGTCGCTCAGCGCTTTGTGCGTGGGCCTGATCTCGTCGCCGTTGGCGCGCCACTTGGCATCGTCGTCTCTCTTCGCCGTGGCATCGAAACTCAGCATCAACTCCTTCATGTCCTTCTGCTGCCTCTGCAGGGCGGCCACCTTCAGCCTGCGGCGGCGCGGGGAGATAGGAGGGACAGAGGGGAAACATGAGAGGGGAGGGGGGGCGGAGATGGCCGGGGCAACGTGTGGAAGTTGCAGGAAGAATTCGAATTCCCATCCTGAGCTCGTCTTTCTTTTCGGACATATCGCGGCACTCTTGGTTCTCGATCTTCACGTCGCCGCCCCCCTGCCCCGCAGACGCGGATCCTCGAGACATGTCCTCCAGCGCAATCTTGCTCGTCTTCCCATAGTCTTTGTGCGAGGCCCACTGCTCTCCCGTCCTCTCCTCGGCTGCGGTCTGCAAGCCATCGTCGAAAACGTAAAAATACAATGACTCTATGACTTCTTCCGTGTCCATCTGGGGCGGGTGGGGTTCTGCCGTCTTGTGCTTCTCAGCGTTCCTGCGCCACTTGTTGCGGGCCCAATCGCATCCCGCAGACACGGTGGGAAAGCTCCCCAGGTTGACCCCGAACTCCTGCGTCAACTGCGCGACTGTGACCCATTTCTGTCCGCTGTTTGTCGGCCCCTGTTTCGAGGACTCATGAACGGCTGCGAAGGAATGCGTCAGGCCCTTCAACCTCTTGGCGTCTTTCTCGCCCTTCTCATTGTCGGTCATGAACGCGTCGTAGGACTCCTTCCGCATCCGCTCGCCCAGTTGCTTGAACGTTGCAAGGGCGATGATGCGCTCCTTCCCGCAGTCGCTCTGGGCATTGCCATCCTTCGCGTTATGCCGGAGGTGGTTCATGAGGTGCGTGGTTTGCGCGTTCGCCAGGGAATCTGGCGGCGGGGGGGGGGGGGTCCTCTTGGTCTTCGGGGGCGGGCCCTTCGCTGGAGGCGGGCCGTCTCCTCCAGGCATCTTCGCTGGAGGCGGGCCCTTCGGCTTCCCTGCCGCGCCGCATCCTGCAGGTGCCTTCGCTGGAGGCGGGCTCTTCGCTGGAGGCTGGCCCTTCGGTTTCCCCTTTGCTTTGCCCTTTGCTTTTCCCTTTGCCTCTAGCGCCACGCACGCCAGGTAGGTACTCAAGGCAAGAGAGTTCACTACCGAAATCAACAACAGCATCTGCCGAATCTCCCGTGGAATCAAGAGAAACACAAGGGACTAGGGCAAATGGGCATTCGAGCCTCGGGCGCGGCTGCGGCACACACAGACATAAAGGCGGCACCTGCATATGCGAGGAGGCGCGGCCCCCTGCCAAGAAGAGGCGCGGCCTCCAGCGCCTGCCCTCCGCGGCCGCGCGATGCGGAAGGCGTCGCCTCCTTCTCCTCGCCCATCCCCCAACCTCGCTCCTTTCCCCCGCCCCTCCCCGTCCGAACGCCGAAGGCTCAATCAGCTGAGTTTGCACTCTTTGTTGCAATTCTCGGCGCCTTTTCGAGCCACGGGGTCGCAGGTGAGCACGTGCTGGGCGGGGTTCTCGCGCCGTCAGGCGGAGGAATACGCCGCGGCGGCGCCGTTCCAGGAGCGCAACAAGAAGCAGGGGACCCCGCAACCACAAGTGAACTGGGCGCACCAGGGCACCAGCGCCCCCCCCCCCCAAAAAAAAAAAAGGAGAACGAGGAAGGGGAGGGAAAGGGAAACCGTTTGAATTGCGCCCGCCCTCGCAGAGGAACCGGAACAGGAGGGGTGGATCACCGTGCCAGACGGCCCGGCGCAGGCGCTGGAGCTTGCGTGGAAGAAGGGGGAGCGGCTGGCGCACTACCAGGCCCGATCTCTCCTTCCTCACTTCTGCCCCCCTATGCTCTAAACCCCCCCCCCCCCCCCCCCCCCAGGTCGGCCGCCGCGCGTGCGAAGCGGACTCGCGGGCGTTCCAGCAGTGGGACGCCGACAAGAACCTGCAGATGTGGTACTTCCCCATCAGGCGCTCGCTCCCCCTCCTCTTCCTCCTCCTCTCACTTCCTCCCCCCTCATCCGCGCTCCTCTGTCCCTCTTCTTTTCGCCCCTGCCCGGGCGCCAGGTGATCGCGGCGCCGAACTTCTGAGGGCTGCGGCAAACGTCGGACACATACCTGCTCTTCGCTGGTACGTCCAGCGCGAAGCTCCTCCTGTGTCTCCTTAAAAGCTCAACATTATCTTATATTATCTTCTTCTGGAGGCTGGGCCTCCAGCACAGGAGGTAATGCCTCCTGAGCAAAAATAAAGGAGGCGTCGCCTCCTCGGCTCCTCGCAGCTCCTTCCCCCCTTGCCCTTGCAAACCGAACGCATTTTCCCGCGTGTAGATGGCGGGGTAATTTCAAACCTACAAACAAAACAAAACATACAAGTCTTCACACATTGTTATACATAGTTATAATACAAAATACATGATACACGTTAAAAATACAAACAACAACAATACCACGAAAAAACAAACATACAAAATCACAGCTTCACCTAAATACTCGAGAGTTTATTACAACAAATACCTACATACTCTGCATTAGCACCATGCGGGTTTCAACATCAGCACAATATTGTGTTGTATTATGTAACGAAAAACATTCGGCCTGCATGTGCTTCGTCTTTTTTTCCCAGGCCGCATCAAAATGCGCGGCTCAGAGAGTTGCCGCCGCGGGCGCCGCCCACCGCGGCGCGCGCCCCCTCAGCAGAGAGATGGAAAGGAGAAGCGGCAAAAAACAGAGGAGGGGCGAGGGGGAGGCGAAGTGTAAGCCAAGTGTAATGCAAAGAGAGGGGACGGTGGAAGGGGAGAGTCTGCCTTTCTCTTCGAGGAGGCGGCGCCCCCTTACCACCCTCCTCCTCTCCCTTTCCACATCCCCTAGTCCTCCAGGCGCCGCGTCGCCGCCTGCGGGGCATTCGGGGGTTCGACCTCCCAAGGCAATCCCACGACGAGGCGATTCTACGAGAACCTTTTGTCGCCTCGACGCGGGGGCGCCCTGGAAGGAAAACCTCGAATGCCCAACTGCCTCAGAGAAAGTCGCTCTGCGGCAGCCCGAACCTGTCGCGCAGCGTTTGGGTGCTCGCAGCGATCTGGTTGGCCTGCTGCAGGAGGTGGCTCTGCTGCTGCTGAAGGGGCCTCGTCGCCTCCATTTGCTGCCGTTGCTCGGCCTGCTGCTGCTGCGGCTGTTGCTTCTCCGCGCCGGCGCCAGGTGCAGTTGCAGCTGCTGCGGCTGCAGGGTCCTGCGCCTGCTGCTGCGTCTCAGCCGTCTGCTGCATCTCCGCCGCCTGCTGCTGATGCGCCTGCTGCTGCTGCGCAGCCCAGGCGGCGTGCTGCCGCTGCGCAACCTGCTGCTGTTGCGATTGCTGCTGCTGCGCGGCCGCCTGCTGGTGCTCGCGCTGCTGCTGCGCGGCCGTCTGCGGGATCTCCCCCTCCTCCACGGCGGCCGCGTCCTCTTGATGCTGATGCTGTTGATCTTGCTGGTGCTGCGCGGCCCAGGCAACCAGCGTGGCCTCAGTCGGCACCTGCGGCGGGAAGCTCTGCAGGAGGTCACCTCCTGGTGCATTTGGCGCGGCCCACAAGGTCCTCCAGGGCGGCGCCGCAGCGTCAGGAGCTGGTGCTGAGCCAGCCGCCTTGCTTGTCGCCGCCATGCATTTCTTCTGCGGCGTCTTGGAGCAGAAGAGGCCAGCTCGAGCTGGCTGCTGCCAGCTCGAGCTGGGCGATGCTGCTGCTGCTGCTGCAGCCTCTGCTGCTGGAGCTGTTGCTCCTGCTGCTGCTGCATCCTCTGCTGCTGGAGCTGTTGCTGATGCGGCGCGCAGCTGGTGCTGCTGGAGCTGCTGCACGAGCTGCTGCTGCAGGAACTGCTCCCCTGCTGCATCTTCTGATGCGTCCTGTGCTGCGGCTGCGGATGCTGCTGCTTGGCCGTCTGCTGGAGCTGCTGCTGCTGCAGCCTCTGATGCTGGAGGCGTTGCTGCTGCTGCTCCTGCAGCCTCTGGCGCAAGCGAACGGGCCGCCTTTGCTGCCCGAGGGGCATGCTTGGAAGGTGGCCTCCGAGACGGCGTGCGCGGGCGGCGCCCCGCCTCCCGCGGCGCCATTCCCTGCGGGCGGTGACGGCGGCGGTTCACCAGCACGTCGGGGCCCACCTGGGCGGGGGGGGGATGCTGCAGGAGGCAGCGCCTCCTCAAGCACCATGTCCGTCTCGAGTTCGACGTTCAAAATTCAAAACTCGACATCCGAATGTCGAACTTTGAACTTCGAACCCGTGCGGTGGGACTTCGAAATCACCCCACCTGCTTCTGCCGCGTCCGCCGCAGCGCATCATCCGCCTCCTGCATGTCCGCGGCCAGCGACGCCTCCAGGGTGCGCTTCTTGGCCATGAACCTGGGCGTGGAGGGTTGCGTATGTATGGTCTTGCCTCTTTGTTTACATTGATTTGCCGGAGGCGTTGCCTCCGTGCGACATTGTACCTTTTGCTTTTGTATCCCCAGGAACTCGCGCTGCCGCGCTCCCTTGGGCATGCGGTTCCGCGCCTTCGGCCACGCCACGATGGCCATGTGCTGGTTGTGGGTGGCCTGGTTGCGCTTCTGGCACGAATGGCCGAGGCGCACGTGCACGAACTTGTCCTGCTGGCAGTGCGCGCAGCGCTGCCCGCCACGGGCTTTGACCCGCACGCGCGCCACGCGTTTCCCCATCTCCTCGGGCAGCCACATCAGCTCCTCCTCGGGCTCGCCCTCATGGACGACCATGCAGTCGTCGTCCTCCTCCTCCCCCTCCTCCGCCTCTTCGCCACCGCCTAGCATTCCGTCGCGGAGCGTGACCTTGAACGGATCCTTGCCAGGCGGCTCACCACCGCCGCCTCCGCCAGGGCGCCTCATCGGCTGGAGGCGCAGCATCGCCACCGCCTGCGGGCAGGGGGGGATGGGGAACAAGACTTGCTCCTCCTCCTCCGCTTGCTCCTCCTTCAGGAGGCGACGCCTCCTCCTCTTCTTCCCCCATCTTAACTCCCCCTCCGCCTGCTGCGCCAGCGCGGCGAGCAGCAGCAGCGCCCAGCAGGCCGCCGCGGCCCCGCCGAGAGGCCCTGCTTTGGAGGGGCCGCGGGGCCCCGAGCGTCGCGCAGGCGCCCCGCGAGGAGCGCCCGCGGCTGCGACGGGCGAATGAAAACGTGCATCCAGCTGCCGTTCGGAGCAAGATGCACCAAGAGGCGGCGCCTCCTATAGAACGCGGTGCCGAGCAGAGGGCGGAGCCCCCTGTCGGGGGCGATGCTGCCGAGCAGGAGGCGGAGCCTCCATCGGGAGGCGTCGCCTCCCCCCTGTCGATCAACGCGCCCCTCCCCTGCGCGCAGGGGGCGGGCTCTCGTCCAGGCGGCGGCGCCCCCCCCCCCCTTCCTTTGCCTTCGCTCTTCGCCCCCCTCCTTTTTAGCGGACCGCATCGAGAACGGTGCAAGGTCTGATTCCGAACTCCTGTTTCAGCTGCGTGACGGTGGCCCAGAACTGGCTGCTCTACATGCGCATCTCCGCTGCCGCCGCTCCCCCCTGCTACTCGCGCCGCCTCCGCCACTCCGAACTTGTCGCGCAGGAACTCCTCGCCTCGCGCTTTCACGGTCGCTTCCGTGATCTCCCGCATGCACAGCTTGCTGACCATGTCCGCTGCCATCTCCCGCATCTGCGCCTCGGAGTAGTCGCCCGCTGTCCACTGGCACACCTGGCTGCGCGGCTTGTGCGCCTGGCGGATCGCCGCGGCCGCCTTCTTCTTCTCGCCTGCCTTATACCACATGACAACCCAGGCTTTCCCCTTCACAGAATCCTCCTCCACCTCCAAGCTCGGGCTCCTGTCGGCCGCGGCAGGCTTCTCCTCGGCCGCGGCAGGCTTCCTGACGGCCGCAGCCGGCCTCCGCTTGCTCGAGCCGCCCGCGGGGCCCTCCAGGTCGGACTCGTTCGTCTCCTGGCTGCTCTCCCTTTCGCCGTCCTCGATGTCGTCGCGGGCGCGGGCCC